AACAATAGATGCTTTGTAACTTTTTGTCCTTTTTTGCCTACAATTATTTGGAAATTAGGAATAAATGCTTGACTTTGATATTGGACTCGTTGGTAGTGATCTAAACTCTTTTGTAAGCTTTATTTTGAAAAGATTGTGGTCCTCATGTGCACAAAGGTTTAAGGAAGATAATGGTCTTTATCTACACAAGGAACCTGATGCAATTATTACATAGGATATATATTGAATATCAATGCAAAGATGATATCACATGTTTGGAAAAAAAAGGTTTTGCATTAACTCTGGTATCTCTTGTTATGTCCAAGTCTATTATGTAAGTATTAAAGGTATTGGAATCAAGTTATGACTAATTCAAGATAATTGGCAACACAAGACAAAAAGCTCAAGACATTGAAATACTTTGCTATCTTTATGTCCATTCAATATTTTAATATTTCAACAACTTTTACATTCAATATTTCAACAACTTACAACAACTTTTGCATTCAATATTTCAACAATTTACAACAACTTTTATCAAACAAGATTACATTTCAAAACCTTGGATTTTTCCTATTTTTTCTTCCCATTCTATTTTTTTGGGGCATTTTATTAAACACCATTTGAGAAGCCCTTCAACCTTTATTTTCTCTTCTTCTCTTCTTACGTTTCCCCTACTTTGAATTAATTTAAGAACTAGAGATGGATGTAATGGAAAAGTCAAAGATCATTCTGCACCTTCTGTTTTTTTTTTAGTTACCACACACACTCACTCTTCCATGACATCCATTCGTGGTTCTTGAAATAGAAACTCTCTAGCAAGATTGCAAACAACAGAAGCTTGAAGGGTAAAATCCATCTATGGTTCTTGAAATGATCATTTTTCTCGATTAGTTTCATCATATTTTCTTCTGTGTAGTGTCAAAATTAGCAAGAAATTTAGAAGATTTTACATAAGCAATTTGGATTTTTAGCTTATTCATTTATGGTTCTTGAAACAATCTCTTTCTTTGATTAGTTTCATCATTTCCATATTTTGTAAAATGCCCAAAATTAGCAAGAAATCTAGATTATTTCAACAAAAATCTAGATTTTTAGCTTCTAATTTAAAAGAGTTTTAGTTTTGACAAGAACACTGAAGGAAGGGCAAAATTATCCAAAAAATCATCAAAGAAGCGAAGACACTAATGATTGATTAATGGCGAAACTTAAGGTTTTAGCGAAAATATTCTTTTGGGGTAGATTGTTTATTTGAAATATTAATGAATCCGCATGAAATTGTGGGTAAAACTTAGTGGGGTTAGGATATTTTACCTTTGCTTTTTTATCTTCAACCTTTTTCAAATATTATTTAAGTTTAGGGTAAAATATCGTGAACCCCTTAAATTTTAGCCATAATTACATTGGTATACGAATAGATATTCCGCCCCAATAGAATATTTTTCACTAGACATATTAACTAGTTATTAGTTAACCATTGATGTTTTCGTTAGTTTGATGATATGGCAATATTTCTTGGATAATTTTACCTTTTATTAATTTTAAAAATTACCACATTATATAAATTATAATTTTTCATTGAAAAAATATTTTCTTTCCTATTCAAGAAAAAATTCTTTTTATCCTACCTCTTCTCAATTGACCATTCTATGGCCAGATTTGGCCGAGGAGCGCCAGATCTAACCAAATTGTGCTCCCTCAATTCACACTCCTCAACGCTCCCCTAAGGAGCGTGGATTGATGCTTCTTAGGGGAGTGTCAATTTAAGGAATATGGATCTAAGGAGCGTCGACACTCCTTTAAGGAGCACAAGATCCTCGCTCCTTTGGGGAATGCCGATCTCACATTCCCTTGGGGAGATCTAGCTAGATTTGACATTCCATGACTAGATTCAGTTGTGGGGTAATCAATCAGTGTAAGGAAGTACCGTCGGTTAGTCCTAGAGAAAGGAAAATAGTGAAAAAGAGTGGAGAAAGGAGAATAACATTTTAGATATTTTATGTTTGCTCGTTAACATTGTTTACACATTTATGATGGATTGTTTATTTTGAATACTAATGGACCCACCTGAAATTATGACTAAAACTTAGGGGTCAAAGTATTTTACCCTTAAGTTTACTTGCTTGCATTCTATTTAGCTAAAAGTCATAGCCACCAATATGATTAATTGCAAATTAACCTTTATTTCATATAGATAAAGTTGAATGGGACAAAACATGATCCCAACATTGTCTCAAATATGCATAGTAAATCTTGCTATTGATTCCTTAATATCAACAAATAAATAAACTTTGCATGGCCTAAAGAGAAAGGAAGATTGGGAGTAATGAAATTGTTAGCAAATCCTCTAATAGACTTGATAAAGCAAAGACCAAGCTCCAAAACATTTACACGGGCAATTACATCCTTTGTAAGAATAATTTTTTTTTTGGCTTCATTGATAGCTTTCAAGTTCTTTGCAAACGATGATGACATTGACGTAGGCAAGAGTTAATTCTATTTGCTTTTGTTGCATTTACAAAATATTTTAACAATTACACTTTTCCTTGTTTCGTAAATTATCTGATTAACTAGTTTAAAATGTTGAATCATATTGATATCCAAATGAGATAACTTCAAAGTCCATGCAAGTGTACTAGAGACAATTTCAAAGTTCAAAGTTAAAGCAAAGAAAGATTTAGACAACCAAGTTTAAAGTCACTATAACTACCCATAATAGTGAATATGAATATGTTAAATTTTAAATAAAATGCCATATCTTGTATTAAAAAAGTGGTATAAGAAAAAGAGTAAGAAGGCTTGAGGCGTGCTGTAACATATTTTTTTTTAAAGAGTTGTTACCTACTACGTAGATTTGTAAACAAAGACTCTCTAAGATACAATAAGTTTATTGCAGAATGCTTTTGATGGATGAAGTCAGTGTTGAAAGTACATTCTTTTATATATATTGAAAAGCTGTGTTTGTTGTGTTTTAACAAATGTGTCTATTATGTTTCAACAAATGTGTCTATTATGTTTTTATAGATGTGTCTGTTGTGTTTTACCAGACGTGTTTACTGAACAATTTTCAATAGTTGTGTTTGTTCACTTTTACTTATTAAAAAAGTTATATTTTAATTTAAGTAATAACATCTTGAATAATTATCTTCCAATGTGAGACTCCTAAATATTACAAAGTATTTAACAATCCTTCATTAATTTGTAATATTAAAAATACTATACATAATAAAAAGTATTTTGAACATTTGAACTTTCTACTAGTATAGAAATTTTAAATTTAAGATGAAGTTTGGGATTGAAACATAACTCCTTATGCCATAACTGAAAATATTACACACATAGGATTATTTAATCACTTTAAGATTCTGCTAACTACTTTAGCACTTATATGGTTTTGTGTTAATCCTCGTTTCATGAATATTTAAAAAGTAAACCCTTTTAACTCTTATTCGAAGTGACACCATTTTAATATTCATATAAGTGGAATTTGTCATTATACCCCTATTACTATAGGGATTTAACATTTCAATTGAGAGCTTTTTACTCATTTTCTCTTTGTAACAGTTGCACAAAATATTCTAAAATAAAGCTATTTAATGTAAAAAATTCAGTGCATAAGCAGCATATTGTAACTTGTTATTAGCCATTAAATTTTTATTGTTAGTTTTGTTAACTCAAAGTTGGGTTTTAGTTACTAACGTATTTAAGTCAAGGGTTTTAGCCTCGTTCCACTAGATGTTGATTTTACAACCTCTTGGCAAAGTTTTGGTAAGTGGATTAGTCAAATTTTGATAAGATTTAACATAAACTATTGTTACAATATCATTTAAGATTAATTTTCTTATGTAAGCATGTCATAGACTTATATGTTTAGATTTTCTATTATAAATCTTATTGTGGGCTACACCCATTGTAGCTTCACTATCACAATTTACGAAATTGGCTAGCATTGGTTGTGGCTATGACTTTATATCTAATAACAAATTTTTAGTTATTTCATTTATTTTCTAGCAATTGTTAATGCTAAAATTCAAATTCCATTATGTAATGTATAATACAAGTTTGCTTCTTGAATGTCCAACTAATGGCAGCACCTCTTAAGGTAAAAATCCATCCTGATATTGATTTATTGTCATCAATACTAATTATCCAACTAGTATAAGAAAATCTTTCTTTCTCAATTGACATCATTGTATCTTAATGTACAATCAAAATATCAAATTAATACGTTGATGTGTATGTTCACACAAGCACCATTATACCCTTATTGCATAATAAGAATGCAATATAAAAGATATTGAATATTTATGTTGCACCATTATGCCTTTGATGATAGAATAGAAATATACCAGATATCAAGATGTTAAATTTACATATTAGTACCATTGTACCTTCATGTATAATAGGAATGTCACATACCTAGCTATCATATAGACCTTAATGGTATTTATATTAACATTATTATATCTTAATGTATAATAGAAATACTACATGCTCACCTGTCATATGAGCCTTGATGGTATTTACATATTGGCATCATTATACCTTAATGTATAATTAGAATGTCACACATCTTTTACACCAACAAATCTTTAAAATTATTAGAAAAGTAGTATAAGAAAGGGAATAAGAAGGCTTGAGACACACTGTAACACATTATTGCTTATTATGGGGATTTGTAGACACAGATTAAAATACAACAAGCCTATTGTAAAATGTTTTTAATAGATGAAGTCTGTGTTGAAAGTACATTTTTTTATAGATACTAAAAAGTTGTCTGTTTTGATAGATGTATTTATTATATTTCAACAGATGTATTCGAAGTGTTTTTACAATTGTATCTATTTTGTTTTAAGATATTGAATAATTTTCAATAATTATGTTTGTTTAAAACACTTGCATTTATTAAAAGAATTATATTTCAATCTCAACAAAAACATCTTGAATAATTATCTTCTAACGTGAGATTCTTAAATACTGCAAACTATCCAACATTTTGAAATATTAATTCAAATCTAATAAACTTTATGTTGAATTGCTATAAAACTTTGAAGTAGGTGAACGGAATTTACTCATGTATCAATCCATGTTTTTTTGCAGGTATTGGCCGTGAAGGTCAATCTTGCCATTTCGTAAATTCATCGGTTGCATACCCGTCGAGAGCTTCCGCAAAGTTTTCCCTTGGTTTTTTTTTCCCATCTTGCCACGCCAAAAGGGAAAAAAAAGAAGTTCGCATTGGAGACTGAAGAGCGAAGCGAGACAAGCAACCGATTCCCTTGTTTTTCTGTCTTTGTTTCCAAAAGAGAAAAAAGATTCAAATTAACAACTAGGAACAACGAAGCGGCAGGCATTCTCAAGCTTTCACGCCATTCCTTATCCCAGGTTTCCTTCTTTTTCGCTCTCTAAAAAGCTTTTAAGTTTTCAGTTTTTTAATCAAATATTTAGTTCAAGAGCGAAATTTTTGATTTGTTGAATTTTTAAATTTTAGGGTTTTTTTGGAATGTTTGCGAAGTTTGAGATTGTTTAAGTTGTAAGGGGACTAAGAGCAAGAAGGTTCTTGGTCCCCAACAAAATGTGTTAAGTCTATGAGGTGAAGAAGAAGAAGAGAATGAGCTTAAAACTTAATTCCCCATTTCTCGAGATTCCACTTGGAAGCTCTTTAAATGGTAAAAAAGGCCATGGGCATTGCTTTGATTTTGATAGGTGTAGGCTCGTTAGAAGAGCAATTCGCAAGCGTGTGTCTGCGGAGAAGCAGAATGATTGGATTGCTCAAGCAATCAAGTTTTCCCATTTTTGTGGGAAAAACATTGATTTGTTTAGGAAAACTATCGGGTCGAGAAATGGTTTCGTCGTGAAAAGTGTTAAGGAGCCTTTTGCTGGGAGCAAGGCTCTAGTGAGGTCTTTGTCTCCGTTGTGGAATGAGGGATTACTGTTGGTTAGGTGCTCCGTTCTCACAGCTGTCATATCTGGTGTGTGTTTATTGGTTTGGTACGGACAGAAGAAAGCTAAAGGTTTTGTGGAAGCAAAGCTTTTGCCTTCGGTTTGTTCGGTGCTTAGTGAATATGTACAGCGTGAGATTGATTTTGGTAAGGTTAGGGGAGTTTCGCCATTAAGTATCACCTTGGAAGCAAGCTCTATTGGGCCTCACAGTGAAGAGTTTTCTTGTGGTGAGGTTCCCACTATGAAAATTCGTGTTCGGCCTTTTGCCAGTTTGAGGCGGGGAAAGATCGTGATAGATGCAATTTTGTCTCATCCCAGTGTATTGATTGCGCAAAAGAAGGATTATACCTGGATGGGGATACCCTTTTATGACGATGGTCTGCAAAGGCATTTATCAACTGAGGAAGGGATTGATTATCGTACAAAAAGGAGGAGGATTGCCAGAGAGGAAGCCGGCACTCGCTGGGCCAGAGAGAGGGATGATGATGCTAGGAAAGCAGCAGAGATGGGTTACATTGTTTCTGAGGGAAGTTTAGATATATCTGAAGATGATACAGTTAAAGGGATAGGTCTTTCAGCTGAAATAACAAGCTCAAAGTCATTTTCATGCATGGATGAGAAGATGCATTGGAGGGATCATCATTGCGTGGACACTGGTATTGATTATGACACGAAGCATGCAGAATTGGAGAAATCATTTGGTGTGAAAATTCCAGGTTCAGGGCTTACATTATGGCCGAAAGGTCCTAAAGGGAACAAATTTAAGAAAAAGTTTAATAGGAGTGATGCCTCTAGTGCTGGTGTTACTGCCAAGAGACGAATCCTTGAGCGTAGTGCATCAGTAGCACTTGCATATTTTCAGGGTCTATCCCAAGAGGACTCTGGTGATTATTCAGAGGCATCTGGAAGTTATGATATATCGGACGTTAATACCCTATTGGTGAAAAGTGAAGTTGCTTCTAATGGTGAAGCTTCTATTGGCATTAATACCGGTGGAGCAAGTTTGCTCAGTTATAACCATTATGGAGAGCAATGTGAAGAGACAGAAAACCAGCATATTATCACACACGGTAACGATAATGGCACTTTACGTAATTTCAATTTCATACGTGATCCGTTTCTTATGACTGTTGAAAGACTTAGTGAAGTCAGAAAAATTGGCAAAAGTTTTCCATATGATGTAAATGCTGCAGGAGCTGCTAAAACTATGAGCTCTAATGTAGATGGTGAGGACTTGGTTGTTGATGTTGTTGTAACTGGAAATATGAATGAGAATGTATCTGAGGGTGAAAGGAGTCATGCATCTCAAAGTTTTACTTCCATAAAGTCTGACCCCACTCCTTCAGCATCCCATTCGGTTACATTTTGGCCATTAGGCTTGAAATTTACCTTGCCTTCTTTTCCTGACAACATGGAGGAACGTGTTTCCAATTTTTTAGCTGGATCCCTTCAAAAGCTAAAAAATGGTGTGGCTCCAAAGGTTGAAGATATTGTTGCAGAACTTGTTGATGGGGTAGATGTGGTGCAAACTGGAGGAATTGAGAAGATGCTTCCAGTTATTGTGGATTCTGTTCATTTCAAGGGTGGAACACTGATGCTGCTAGCATTTGGTGACAGAGAGCCCAGGTTCAAACTCCGTTCCCCTAGTTACCCTCTTGCACTTTATGCATATATACATGTGTGTGCATTAGTATATTCATATATTTCAATTATTTCTTACTATGTACCATGGATTTGCAACCCAACTTTTCTTATTCATGTATGGAATTGTAGAAAACTGTTTGATTCTTGTTCCTGTATGGAATACTAATGTAATAAACCTCATGTGTATGTCACTGGATATTTAATATCAAGAAAAGAGCTCATTAGAAGATATGAGTATATGGGCATTTGATTGGTGAAGTAGCAAAAAAAGTTTATTCATTATATAATTATGTTGATTAATAAGAAAAGCAGGATTCAATTTCATTTCTCTTCATAGCCCCACCCTAAAGTGTCTTTAAGAATCTGTCGTAGTGAATTAAATGCACTTTTTCAGATCGCTTTGAAATGTAGTCTATAATATCAGTTTCAGAATTTCCTTTCTTATGCATTCCTACCAAATGACTTTTTGTCTACAATAACATATGGGAATTAATATGTACTTTTTACCTTCTCTCTGAGTTTCCTCATACCCTGCAAATTTATACTATCGATGGGATTATTTTTTATTGTTTTGTTTGTATAGGTTTAAGGTTTTGGCTTGTGCTCCTTAGAGTTATGGGTTTGTAATATGTAGTTGTTTTGGATGATATGGTTTCTGTTGGAAATCTGACGTTGGTGTTTGAATGAAGTATTTGAAATTGAAATGCCTATATAAAATATAGTATCTCAAAATTGATGAATTTGAAAAAAAATCTGTTCGGGAAGGAGTAGACAACATTCCAATGTAATTTTTTGAAGGAAAAAGAGACTTTACAAAGGTGAAAAAAGAAAACTTGAATCTAATTTGCCCTCATCCTCTCTGTTGCATCTGCCTTCCATCACTGTGCCACAACTGCAACATACCTTTCAAACACAATATAATTCACAACTGTCAAAATTGCCACTTGAACCATGAAAATCACCATTAAATTAACTGTAAACTTCTTTAAAATAGATGAAGTCCCACTATTTGACCACTCCAAATTTCTTAAATTTGACACGAAATCAGTAACTCAATTTCTCAGCCTTCAATCACCAAAATTTTCAATCAAACATGCTCTAGGGATGAAAGCTGGTATGAAGACAGAAGAATGGTGATGAAAATTGAAATTGTAGGAGGAGAGGAAACGGAGACAGAAAGAGCGAAAAACACTGAAATTGATTTTGATGATGTTGCCTAAAAATGAAGGTTTCTGTGGTTGGGGAAAGACAAGATTAGTCTATAGGTGAACGAGCTTCGCTCTCTTCTTATGTTTTGTCTCTTTCACAGGACTAGGCTGCATTTTCATTTGGCCTCTTGAGGCTTAATTTAAAGCATATGATTGTGACCCTCAGAATACAGGTGCAGAGTGCAGATGCATTTACCAAATTCATCGTCTTGATTTGCAAACAGAGTATTTGACACATTTTGAAATTTGAAATTCACTCTTGATGTACAACCCTCCTTGAAATGCTCCATACATACTTCCTTAGTGAATCTGATTTTTCTCTATTGATCATTTACCATTCTTGGAGAAAGTTTGCAAACAAGAGATGCTCCGTGTTAGTTCTATCTTTTAAAACTTTCAATATTGTTTCCAGAGAGATGGAGAATGCCAATGGATATGTGAAGTTCCAAAATCATTATGGACGTGTGCACGTACAACTCAGTGGTAATTGTAAAACTTGGAGATCAGATTTGGCCTCTGAAGATGGTGGCTGGTTGTCTACAGATGTTTTTGTGGATACTTTAGATCAGAAATGGCATGCGAATCTAAATATTTCCAACCTCTTTGTTCCGGTAAGGTGTAAAATGGATGTGATACTTAACTTTTCTGTCTGCATTTGATCCAGCATGAATTTGATAGATATGCTTTTTGTTTGCCTTTTCCTACAGCTTTTTGAAAGAATTTTAGAGATTCCAATCACATGGCTTAAAGGAAGAGCCACTGGTGAGGTGCTTTTCTAACTTCACTTTTTAGTTTTTCTTTTTTTGCTTTAATTTCGGGCATTATATAAAAATACATTTCAATGCTATAGGTTGACCAAGTCATTTTATATGCATTGCAGTACCGTGTTGAAAGTTGCTTCTGGGATTATTATTACAATCTGATGTTTATGATCTCTTTTTACTCCCTTTGCTATCGACTTCTGTTTACTTGTAAAATTTGTTGTTTGATATTTCATGGGAAGTTGCTGACCTGCTCCCCTGTTTTACTTTGCATTCACCCAGCATAGATGGGAGAGATGTAAGAGCAGCATAAAACTCATTAGTACATAGGAATTGTTGATATTTACAGGAGTTGAGCAGTATGATCTAAGTCTGTCTCCCTGCCCCCTAACAATTTAAAATGACTTCAGAGGGACTATTTTTTCGCTTCATAAGCAATAGACCCGGATTTGGCTCCCGGCAAACACCGTTGTTAAACTTCTGCTTTTCCAAAAGAACAAAAAAAATACTGATTTAGGCTCTAGAGCTTTTATTTCCTGCCTTAATAAGTGGTAAAGTTTCTGCCAAGTTTTGTGACTGTGTTGTGTTATAGAAGGAAAAAGAATCTAATACTGCACTTACATTCAATACTCTACTTATATATATATATATATATATATATATCTTGGTCAACTTTGGTTATTGGCAGGACTGTATTCTGCTATAGAAGGACAAAGAATCTAATACTCTACTTACTTTGTAGAAGCAATGATTGGTTGATATCTGTATCCTGGCCAACTTTGTTTATTTGCAGGTCCACCTGTGCATGTCAACGGGGGAGACATTTCCTAATCTTCACGGACAGCTTGATGTCACAGGGTTGACCTTTCAAATATATGATGCTCCATCATGGTTTTCAGTATGTCCTTGTTTCATCTTCTCTATAACCCTTGCCTGCTTCCGTTTCCATTTAGATGTTTCTTGTAGCATGTTATACAATTTTGCTGAATCTTGTCGTAGCTATATTTATTTATTTTCCTGGGTAGCAGGACGAAGATATGAAATTCATTTGTCATATCTTGTTGTGTGGTTGCTAATTTACCATGTTTTATATAGTTTATATGCCCATTTTATTTATAACTGAGTTTTTGATGATGTGTTGTTAGCACTGGAAAAACATTATTTTTCTGGTAGCAGGTCCAAGATCTGAAAGTCAATTTATGTTTTTTGTTGAATGGTTGCTACTTTCCTGTGTTGTATACAGTTTATGCCCATATGATAAATGAGTTTTTGTTTCTGGTGTTGTTATGCTCAGGGACTCTTGAATGCTTTATGTGGTTTTTAGGTACTTACAGGCACATTCCAGTCTATTAAGATTATGCAATGAAATAATATATATCTTCATGAAGGAATTATAATTCAGTCAACCTCATATATCTTGCGTTGGTAAGTATTACATGTTTACCATTTGTATGGACTGAAGAGCGGGATAAGAGAAGAGAAGTTGGTTCACATATTCCATTTGCTAGGATGTTCAAATGCAAATGTGGGTGCATGTGTTGAGAAATAATTTCCTTGAGAATCAGTTTTTTTATCTCTGATTCTCTTTTATTGGAGATGCCACCATTTGAGGACAATATACCTGCCTCTTATGTATTCATCATGACTTTGCAGTCTTCGTGTTTTCATCATTATTTCTCTTTTCTTTTGTTTGTCAATTGTAAGCAAAAATTGATTAACTTTGTTGCTTAGTGTGTCCAATTCTTGTTTTCAGCTGCACTACTATTTTCAAAAACTTCAGCAATCCAATCCTAGTGCAGGAATAAATGCTATTTATCTTGGGTATTGACATTTTGTAATGTGGGAGTTGGAAGAGTTTTCTTACAGATGTCTACATCCTTGTTATTGGGGCAATGTGTGATTGCTTTTCTAGTTTGAATGATGTCAAGGGGATACGTTTCTTAAAATTTTTCTGTTTCTCGTTTCCCATTGGGTTAGAACAGGAAATGGGTGCATTTAGTCGAAGGCTTTTTCTTGCTATGAGTGAGGTCTAAACATTTGACAAAGATGGTTTTGTAGCACAAAAAAAAAAAAAAAAGAAGAATTTTGCACCTAAGAATTAATCTAGCTGAAGGCGGCAGTGGACTGGACAAAAAGTCAAGTAGACCTTTGGTTGATGGGGGTTAAGCTAAAAAACAGAAAAAGGAAGAACATGTCCTTGCTGAGTAATGGACAATTATATGGCTTTGCATGAACCTTAGGATATTTGTATATCTGATTCAATGAGATTAAGATTTTGTTTCTTGATCGTATATATTCATGTTGTTTGTGTAGCATCAACTCATTTCTTGTGACCTCTTTTGTTTCTGGTTAGTATTGTTCTCATCTTTCTTGACATCTGAGGCTAGAAAAATACTCACTAAGATTATTCCTTCTCTGCTTTCCTTTTGATTGCTTTTATGTTCATGCAGTGCTTTGGACTTACATTTATACATTTAAAATCAAATAAAGCTGACCATTAAGTTGAGTGCCAACTTCTTGTTTGTCCTTTGGGAATATATTGATCTGTGGATTTCTTTGTTGCAGGACATTTCAGCACATTTATGTTTCCGGGGTCAGCGAATATTCCTTCATAATACAAGTGGCTGGTTTGGTAGTGTTCCTTTAGAAGCTTCTGGAGATTTTGGCATCCATCCTGAGGAAGGAGAGTTCCATCTTATGTGTCAGGTGTGTTATTGCATATTTTCTGGCCAGGCTTTATTTAATGCTTTTGAGGACCTGGTTTCTGAATCTTACTGCTTTATTAAACTGGGAAAACTTCTTGTTTTGTTCAGACTAAAAGTGATGTTGCTGTATGTGCTAAAATGTATATGGATTTGAACAGTTATTCAGTTGGACTATTGAAGTTTGTAATGCAATTGAAAAGGGAATAATCCTTGTTGATAGTTTGAAGGTGGGATTGAGTTATTTCTTTATGTTTTAAACAAATGATTGTTTATGTAGTGTTATCCACATCAGTCAAGTTCGAGGTTTACTCTGGCCTTTTATTTAGGTTGAGCTTCTCCCTTGTCAATTTGTTTTAAGTTGGATGCTTAACTTGGTATTGGAGTGCAAATTGTTTGTTGTTTTTATTATTTGTAAATGGTTATTCCATAGTTGTTGTCCATGTGGTAGGCTTGTTCCGTTTGTTTCAGGTTTGTCTTATGTCTACATGCTAGAGGAAGTCTTGAGCGGTGTTATCTAATATCAATTAAGTTTGGGATTGTTGTTGTGGTGATATATTCAGGTTGGCCCATTTCATCTATTGCCAGTGGGTTTTAAGTCTGATGCTTAAAATGATCCTCTTCTGGGTTTCTTGATTGCTGTTATCACAGAGAATAAATTTCATGTCAAAGTTCCTTTCACTCCACAGGAAGATACAGTTTTGTACTGTAAAATGCTAGCCCAGATTCTTATGTTTTAAACTTTTCATTATTTTCTTCTTTCGTGGTAAGAATGTTAATGTCTCTTGTAAATTGCTGCCCCAATTTGTTTTAGAGCTTGATTTTAAAATGAATGTTTGAAGTTAGATTCACTTTTGAAGATGTACTGTAACTTTGATGATCACTTCAAAGATGCTGCATAAAGCAGCTTATGTCCATATATTTTGCCTTTTAGGATGGGAGTTTGTAACTCTGTGTCTAATGATGGAACTCCTAGGCAATTGTTTTAATTTCAATGAAATTATTTGTAACATGAATCATGACATTCGCATCTGAGCTTATTATGAAATGAAAAATAAGTCATGACTTACAATCTAATGCATTTGTTTGAGCTTAAAGGGGCAGCTTTGCTATGGTCCTTTCTTTTTCTGACAACTTGTAGTGTTTTATTCTGCCTTCATTGTCTAATTGTGTCACCAGGACTTTATTTTCAGGTTCCATGTGTGGAAGTAAATGCCCTGATGAAAACTTTCAAGATGAAGCCTTTGTTGTTTCCGGTATGCATGGCATTTATCTTATCATCATCATTATTACTATTTGTACAGCTACTAGCCATACCTAATAGGACGACGTATTCTGCATGACTTTTCTGTTCTTATAAAGTTCGTCATCATTATTACTGTTACTACGACTGCTATCCGTGGTTAATAGGATGACATATTCTGCAGGACTTTTCTGTTCTTCTGAAGTGATGCCTTTACTACTATTATTATGTTATGACTATCGTCATCAACATCTTCCCTTTAATTAGATGTAATTAGTCCTTGATAGTTTAATTCGTCATACACTGTTGGTCCAATCTCTATACCTTTTCACTTCTTGAGGAATTTACTCATATGGTTTTATCTTTGATCTATCAATGTTAATCTCTTTTGGCTTTCTATCTTGACTGCAGTTGGCTGGTTCCGTGACGGCTGTTTTCAACTGTCAAGGCCCACTGGATGCCCCTACTTTTGTGGGGAGTGGAATGGTGTCTAGAAAGATATCTTACTCCGTTGATGTCCCTGCATCCTCTGCATCTGAAGCAATGTTGAAAAACAAAGAGTCTGGTGCAGTGGCAGCATTTGACCGTGTTCCATTTTCATATCTGTCTGCTAATTTTACCTTTAACACTGATAACAGTGTACGTTTGTTTTCAATAGAAAGTCTTGTTATTAAGATGGACATTTCTTTGACATCAGTGCAGTGGTCAGCTTTTGTAAAATTTTTGTCAAATGTGATAGGTTGCTGACTTGTATGGAATTAGAGCTAGTCTTGTCGATGGTGGGGAGATTCGAGGGGCAGGAAATGCATGGATTTGTCCAGAGGTATGTTAGTATTTCCCCTTTCCTGCCCAATTAGCTTGGCTGAGGGAACACTTGATTGTCTTTGGATTATCATCTTATACAGTGACTTTCTTCAAGTATCTTGTTGACAGCATGGAACGTGGTCCTCCATTATGCTTCATCCTTTTCTCTTGATCTGTTTGTTGGCTATGATATCTGAACTGTAGAACTTGGTTGGCAATTTTTATACATTGAAGTTGTTATTTTCTGGCCTTTCATTGTTGCTTCTCCTATAATCTTTTTCATTGTTGGTCATACAATAATGAGTGTTATGCACTTATGCCTCTTCCAAATTGCAATTTCTTCATGACTTGTCTCATACTACTTAGGTTGGCATGTTTTGATTTCTTAACTTTAGCCCTCCCAATAACTAGTTGGCAAAGTGGAAATACAATAATAGAAGTATGTTTCCTTGTCCTATGATGCATTATGTATTCAAAAGTTATTTCTTCTGCAATTCTGATGTACAATAATTGTATCCCACAGGGTGAGGAAGATGATACAGCACTGGATGTAAATTTCTCTGGAAATTTGTCCTTTGACAAGATTATGCAACGATATATACCAGGGTATCTTCATCTTATGCCACTCAAGTTAGGGGATTTAAGTGGAGAGACAAAACTTTCTGGATCACTTTTGAAACCGTAAGCTGATGAGCTTTCCTCCTTGATTTGGGTTCATTGATGTGGACTGTTTTATTTCTTAATTTTTTGTTTGTTTCTTCATTGATGTTGCTTATAGTTTAAGTTGGCTTATTCACATTCCTGTAGGAGGTTTGATATCAAGTGGACTGCACCAAAAGCTGAAGGGTCTTTTAGTGATGCTCGGGGAGATATAATGATTTCACATGATTGTATAACTGTCAATTCTTCATCTGTTGCTTTTGATTTGTTTACAAAAGTTCAAACTTCATATCCTGAGGAACACTGGCTAAACAGAAAAGAGTTCAATGAGAAGAGTGCTGTGCCATTTATTGTTGAAGGAGTGGAGTTGGACTTGCGTATGCATGGTTTTGAGTTTTTCAGCCTGGTCTCTTCTTATACTTTTGATTCTCCAAGACCTACACATTTGAAAGCAACAGGAAAAATAAAATTTCATGGAAAGGTTCTGAAGCCTTGTATTACCAGTGAGCAAGATTTTGGCCCCGAGGGGAAACCTGAGAAAATGACAGATGAGAGAAGCAGACAGAGGCTTGTTGGTGATTTGTCAGTCTCAGGTCTCAGACTGAATCAGTTAATGCTGGCACCTCAGTTGGTTGGGCAGTTGAGCATCTCTCGCAACTCTGTCAAGGTACTGCCTCCGCTAAGCGAGATACTTACTGGTGCTTTTATTGTGTTTGTGCTGATGGTCATTTTATGTTGCTAAAAGCTTTCACATGCATATTGAGAGGGTCATTATATACTGCTGGATGCAAGGAACTTGAAACTTTATTATGCTCTATAAATATGACTATGAATTCTGTAATGTGGGCATAATAATATATAGGTTTAAACAATTTTTGTTCTTTCCATAGTGTCAAGGGGAGGGGAAGGCCAAAGAGGAACATGACCACAATGGCGTAGTATGATCCTTATAGCTGACCCGACATAGTGATGAAGGCTTAAGTTGCTTTTGTAGCTTCCAAGTGTATATTTTCAAGTGGGTTGTGACTTTCATTGAAATTTAGTGTATTTATTCGAAACAAAAGCTTCTGCCTCATGTTTCTCTACTATATTGTGACTTTTTAGGTCTATGGTTTATAGTTTATGATCTTGAATTTCTGAAAAGGTTGAGAAAGCATCTCAAAATTGTGTAAAATAAATTGTAACACATGTCATATCATTTCCCATAAAGTCTGTTCTTATTGGGCTGAATGGATTCCAAGTAAATGTTTCCTTTCAAAACATCAAGTATTTCATTGCCAAATATAATATTTGTGGGAACTTATTCTTATTGTACACCCATCTATTGCCAATTCTTTTACTAACTTATTTACCATGAAATCTTTCTTCTCCCTGGTTGTGCAGTTAGATGCCTTAGGTAGGCCAGATGAAAGTCTTGCAGTTGAGGTTGTGCGGCCCCTACAACCTGGCTCTGAGGAAAACTTGCAAAATGGAAAATTATTCTCCTTTTCTCTTCAAAAGGGGCAACTGAGAGCTAATATTTGTTTTCGCCCACTTCATTCTGCTACCTTGGAGGTATTGTAAGATCTTTCTAGTTTAGTTTTTGAATTTAAGTCTTATCAAGTGTTCTTAATATGAAAGCAAAAAAGGTAAAATGAAGTTGAAACTTTCCTGCCCATTTGTATGTTGCTTGCAGATACGGCACTTGCCACTTGATGAATTGGAGCTTGCTTCACTGCGTGGAACAATACAGCGGGTAAGCTTTTATATGTCCCTTCAAGACTTGAGAAGAACAAAGCTAATATCAGAGACTCTGGTTGAATTCAATTGAGATGATAGATTGAAGGATTTTTATAGGGAGAGAGAGATTACATGTATAGCCTATTAATTTGGCAAGGAAGGATTAAAATTCTAATATATATTTTTTGAAATAAGTCAATGCTAGGGGGGGGAGGGGTTTGTTTTCTGCACATTACGGCATTGTGAAAATCTTCTTCAATCTAACAGAAGTTTCTACCATCTGCGATGGTGCTTGTGTTAATGGCCATAAGCTGTTTCTGGTCTCCATCTGAAACGTTGTGTTCCAAGTCATTCTAAATGTGATCTTTTGGGAGTTTGATGATGATAAATCGTTTAATATTGTCAGTTGCTAGTGGTGAATTGGATGTAAAACTGTATCGTTAATCGTGTTTTGGTTTTTCCACTTTCAGGCAGAAATCCAGCTTAATTTCCAGAAAAGAAGGGGCCATGGTGTTCTATCTGTGCTTCGGCCTAAATTCAGTGGTGTGCTTGGTGAAGCCCTAGATGTGGCTGCTAGGTGGAGCGGTGATGTTGTGAGTATTTGAAGTTTTCATATTATCAATATGTCTGTTTTTGCTGGTTAATTGATTGGGTTATCTCACATGAAGTTTCCGTTTGGTTAATATTTTGTGTTTTTGGTTAATTGGTTAGGTATTTTTCCAAACAAGTTCAGTTTTAGGTTTGATCTTTTACTTGAAGTGGTTGCTGGGGGATCTTATCTTTCTTTACCATTTTTTTTTGCTTGATGTCTTTCTTTACCAATTGCATGTGCAGATTATGCATTTGATGTTGTAACTTACTGTTGATATTGGGCT